AAATCTCTCTCTGCCTCTTATAAGGATGCTTGTGATGGCATTTAAGGCACGGATAATTCAGGGCAACCCCTTCATCTCAAGATCCTTAATTTAATCACATGTGCAAAAACACCTTTTCCAAATGAGGTCACATTTCCAAATTCCAGGGCTTATGCCTTGATATCTTCAGGTAGCCATCACGCAGCCTACTACAGTGAGTAACCTAGAATCTGAACTAGAGCTTCCATTCCCTAATACTCCGGGGTTTCATAACATAAGGGGGTAAACCTTTCTTAGATTTCCCTAAGTTTGGTCAACAAATTGCTGTGAAACAGAGGCCAGATATTGGCCTAGACACTGGAGATATTAAAATATGCAGGACCTGGTTCCCACACTTAAGAAACCACAGTTGGTAGACCAGTACCTACCTAAAAATTAGTATTTCAATTCACCATGACATCTGGGTCAGCACAGCTGTCATTATTTTTAAATCCTAAAGTTGTCAATCTTTAAATAGTTTTTCAAATTTTAATAAAGTTATGCACTAAAATCCCTTTGGCCAGTCAAGCTAGGTCACTATGCCCCAGAAGTGCCCACTGGCCAAACGAATGGAGCCCATACCAGTACTTTCCCACTGTTTGGTGTGTTATTGTGCTTCCATGGGCCAAGAGGTGGCTTCTGTCATGTAGCCTTTTCAAGGAACAGTAGATTGGGAGGATGACTTGTGACTTGAGAACTTGACAAATGCTATGCTTCCAAAGAAAGAGAAAGGAAGGGGAAATGAAGGCATTCACAGTTTTACAGTCAGAACAGATGTACGGTTATACCTATTTGTGAAGTAAACACTGAGGAGCTGTGTGTCAGTGTTAGGGTTAGGGAAAACGGCACAAGAACATCTGAATGGGTCTTGGGCAGGCCTAGGCTCCAATACCAGCCCTATGCTACTAGCTCAGCTAGCTTCAATCCCTTGGACGAGTTCTTCAGTTTGTTCAGTCCTTTTGGAAAGAATTACCACAGTACATATGGTGAGCTATAAAATATTTCTACCCTTAGGCCCAGGAATCCTTCTCTTCTGAGTTCTTTCTAAGGAAATAATTAAACAGAAGGAAGACATGTCATATGCATGAAGATATTCACTCTAATATTACCTACTGGAAAAAACTAGAAACTGCATTAACTCTATAAGGGCATGATTTCATAAAGTATAGCATGTTAATTTGATAGAAAATGATGAAGCTATTTAACACTGTCAATATGAACAGCATATGGAAATATGAAAATTGATTCATACAGTCTAAAAGATAGAAAAGAGAATTACAATTAAAATGAACTCAAATTACAAAACATATCGATGTAGGTTAACAAATCATGGAAGATACTAAAAAATTCAAAACATTTGTGTCAAGGTGAGGAGATTATGGGTGGTTGTTTTACTTTTTAAAACGGAGGTGTTCACTGTTAATACTGTCTTCGCAATTGAAAAAAAAGTCATAGGGCAAAGGACTGAGGCCATCTAAGATTTTTCTCTGTCATAGTAAAACACTGGGATTTAAGATAATACAAAATCTGAAAGAAAATGTTGAGTTAAAGAAGGTTTGCGAGATTCTGAGAGAAGAGGCAGTTTGGAACACTGGAAAGGCCAAGGGCTTTGGAGACAGACAGTCGGGGCACCCTTTGGTGGCAAACTGCTTCAACACTGAGAGCCTCGGTCATCTCATCTGCAAAATCAGGAAAACAAAGCCACCATTTCAGATTTGTTATATGCTTTTGAAAAATATATACATTATGTTACATTGTATACATAAAATATATGTTATATTGTTGGCATCTAATGAATTTAAGTCTATATTTTGGAGAGTATATGTAAAAGGCAATAGGAAAAGCATGTGTGTTAAAGGGGGTGGGGATGGAAAAGAAGGCAAGTACATTAGAAGGTAGTACAATCATATAAATTAATGCCCATAAATATATTAATGTGAATATGAACCAAAATGTTCACTGGAAGAGATACAAAATAGAAGACATACGAAAAAACCCTGAAATGTTAAATTTAAGAAGGAAATGTCATTATGAACTTTTGAGTTTTTTAAAGTATATTTTCCAGCACTTTCCACTGAAAAGTCAGAGAAGCAGTAACATCCGAGTAACAATAAGCCAGTGCCCAGCTCTTTGTTTCTAAGCACCCTTCCCAACTAAAGGAACCCAGGGCTTCTTGGAGAAAAGAGTGATTTTCAGGTCAGAGGCAGGAAAAATCCAAGGTGAGCCTGGAATATCTTATTTGCCAAAAGCAAGAAACACTCAAAAGGCTGAGGGTGCAGGAGCCAGCTTGAAGGGGCTCCCACTGACCACAGTGGGACACTCTGAGCATCTAAGAGAAGAACCGTAATAGATTAGAGTACACTGAATTTAAAACAAATAAATCCATGCATTTATACTGATATAAAAGATAAGCAGAGAAACAAAAGGAGGTGGAGGGAAGAAAGCCTTTCTTTACTGAAGAATGTTAGACCATAAGTAGAGGAGAAATGATAGAATTAGAAAAATCACCACTTTTCCAACACCAATGTAATAACCGATTCAGGAAAGGATCATCATGGATGCTAAAACTATTGGGTGAAAGGTTGCTGGGAAACAGAATATCCACACATTCTCAAAGTATCTACTACTAATTACAAAACAGAAATGGTCCCTGTACCATGGAAACATCGGGCAGACACCACCTTAACCAAGTCATCAAACTGTGCACCATTAATGCTGGGACAACCCGCCTCCTGAGGAGACACAACAGGTAGCGGAGAATCTCTCCTAACCGGCACCTAATTAACGCAATTAACGCGAATCCAGTCATAACCAGAGAAGTCCAGAATGTGGGCCTTCAACAAAATAACTGGGTCTAGATTTTAAGACAACGTCATGAAAAAAACAATAAAAGGCAAGGGTCTATTCTAGATTAAAAGAGGTAACAAATGTAATACAAGAACCTTGACTAGATCCTGGATTTAAAAAAAAAAGCAATGAGGTATTTGAGGTGGGGGGCTGGTGGAAAGATCTGGTATATTTGAATATGGACAGGATATTACTTATTTGACATGATTGTTAATTCTCCTAAGTCAATGTATGGTGGTTATGTAGAAAAGTTCTTATTCTTAGAAAATAAATGCTGAAGTATCATGATGTCTGCAATTTATAGTTAAATGGTCCAGCCAAAAAAGGAAATTATGTGTGTGCAGATGTTTGTGTCATAAAGGTGTCAAAAATGTTAACAACCAGTCAACCTAGGTGAAAGGAACATACTCGGCCTTCATAGTATTCTTTCGATTTTTCTGTAGTTCAAAAAATTTTAAACTATGAAGTAAGAAAAAAAATTGATCTTAAACATTAAGTCGGATAATTCATGTCGCATGTGAGCCTGGTCACGCTTCCTCTGAATCTTACAAGCACGGAGGTGTAGAAGCAACCAAATTTTCCTCAAAAAAATGTTCATTAGAGGGGCCGGCCCGGTGGCGCAAGCGGTTAAGTGCGCGCGCTCCGCTGCGGCGGCCCGGGGTTCGCTGGTTCGGATCCCGGGCACGCACCGACGCACTGCTTGGCAAGCCATGCTGTGGCGGCGTCCCATATAAAGTGGAGGAAGATGGGCACAGATGTTAGCCCAGGGCCATCTTCCTCAGCAAAAAAAAAAAAGAGGAGGATTGGCGGATGTTAGCACAGGGCTGATCTCCTCACAAAAAAAAAAAAATGTTCGTTAGAATAAATCTATGTTCGGTTTCGCTTTTGCCTCAATGGACTAGTATGAAATATACCTCAGCCTCTCCCTGCACCACCCCAGGAAGGCCCTCTCAGGGAACAAAGGTCTGCTCCTACGTTACATTTTCCTACCAAACAAAGAATCTCACCTTGGGGTGGAGATAGTGAACAGAAGTAACCTAAGTAACTGCTACTGGAACAAAAAGAGAAGGTATAATCCAACAATCCTCCAGTATATTACTGCCATCTTCCTCCCCACTCCCTTCCAATCTGCAAGACCTTCATCTTAGAGGAAGTTATTTCCATACAAGATGGAACAACGGGTGCATAAACAAGAAAAGGGAAGTGCTGGTAAAAACTGAGAGCATTCTCAGTGCAACAAGAGAGTTTACTTTGGTTCTATCTCAAACCGACGCTTGTGGAAAAATCAGACACATGACAAATGGAGAAAGCTCAGAGCTAGAGAACACCGCCCCATAATGGCAGGTAACTGCAATCTATCAAAGGGGGTGCTGGCAAGCAGCGAGGGCAGAAGGCTGGGTCACTACAGTTTATGTAGAGAAGGCTAGTTCTCGGAGATTATACTTGTTTATTAGGGGACACTGGTGTTTGTATTACCAAGCGTTTGGAGCCCAAAATTCTGCAGTATTGGTAAAAAGCCAAGAGCAATCTTATACAGCTTAGGAAAGACTCATTTTTAAAAATATAAACAGAGAAGACTGGTAGGGGAAAAATAATCCAAAGGCAATTTGCAAAGTGTCCCATTTAATTTTAGATGGTTCAGACTCTATTCCAGCTTGGGCAGAATGCCTTTCTTGGGGCTATGGAATCATATCATTCTGTCTATGAGATTCATGCCATTTAATCATATGTGAGATTTAAAAGTTATTTGAGCAGAAAGAAAGATTATAGAAAAGTTATGTCATAGAGCTATGTTTTACATTTACTCACAATTGTTACAGTTGCCTTGAAAAATACCAATATACATACAAACACTCTAGTATATCTCCATACCACTCATCAACTACAATAGTTCTGTGAAACTATAAATAGTTCTTTAAACTATGTCAAAGAATGCACATATAGAATCCCCAACTGTGACAAGAACACTGAAGGAAATATGAAGAGTATTATTTCTAAACTAATGTATTAAGTATAATAGGTCGAGAAAGTGCTCTTAAGAGATGGAAAGGTATACGGTGACTTCCTAACCATTAAAGCAACAGAAAGCTATTTCAAACAAAAAAATTAAATGAGATCATTAAAAATAAACATACCCATCTTTGGTCTGGTCCACCACACCACTTAAAAGCTCCACAGTCTTTGGATTAGGCTGGCTTTCTCCAAAAATGTTCAAATATCGAGCGACGAAGTCATGGGGAGACATGAAAAATTCACCATTTTTTTCAATGCTTGCATACTATTTAAAAAAAAGAGAAAAGATATTTTATTCTCAAAGTTTACAATCACGAGATCAATATGTGAGAGAGCTGAAAATACTTCTAAGGATAAAATAGCCAGATATGATAATAAATTCGTCCCAGGGACAGTTATTTCCCATCACTTTAAAGAAGAAAACAAAAACACATTAAGTTTGCCACATTTTATGTTCTCAACTGGGGGCAGCTTAGCCTGACTGTCCTGCTTACAAACACCAATGCCCCCTAACAGCCAAGAACAATCTATGAGGACTAGCCTTTTCTGTACATTACCTGCCTTTCTGGGATGGAGTTCTCTAGCTCTGAGCCTCCTCCGTTTGTTTTTATTTTTCCCCGCAGGGGACATCTGGCAGTATCTGATGACAATTTTGATTGTCATAACTTGGGGGTAGGGATGCTACTGGCATCTAGTTGGTAGAGGCCAGGGACGCTGATAAACATCCTACAGGGCTCAAGACAACCCCCTACAAGAGGGTGACTAAGCCCACAACGTCAGCGGTGCTGAGGTTGAGAAACTCTGGTTTACAGAAATTTGGAAAGACAAATTATGTCTTGTCCTTCAGCAAGGACATATAGCTTTTTTTTAAAAGAAGAATTAATTATGAAGTCATGGATGGAAAGAACCTAATTATTTTGCCCCATCTCTGCTTCAAGGGCATCAATGATGCAAGAGAGGATGACAGGCTGAGCAGGAAAGCAAACTATTAACTATGTGGCTTCTTGTGGGATTTTATGGAAGTAGGTATGAAATGCTGCTCAGGTTAGTGTCCTCTCCATTCTAGGGCAGAAACGGTCAATAAGAACGAGGTGTTGGGGCCAGCCCCATGGCCAAGTGGTTAAAGTTCCTGGCACTCCGCTTCAGCAGCCAAGGTTTGCAGGTTCGGATCCCAGGCGCGGACCTACACCACTCATCAGCCATGCTGTGGAGGCAACCCACAGACAAAATAGAGGAAGATTGGCACAGATGTTAGCTCAGGGCTAATCTTCCTCAAGAAAAACAGAGGAAGATTCACAACAGATGTTAGCTCAGAGCCAATCTTCCCTCAGCAAAAGAGGGGGAAAAAAACCGAAGTGGCACGCAACACTTTTCCATGACATTCCACCAGGTCTCACCTTCAGTGTGAAACACTCCAGCTCACAAAGTGGGAACCCGCTACTTCCCGTTCTGTGGGGCCCCAGGGGCTGTGGGAAACGCTCAGAAACAACATGAGGATCAGACAGTATCCTTATGGAGCAGGAGGGGACCTCTTGATCCTCAAGACAGAACAGTGATTTGGGGGTGGAGAGGTGAGAGCAGTGAGCTACAAGAAGAACTGGGCTAGTTCAGTGACAAAAGCCATACTGGTGGCCACAGGGATGGCGGAGCACAGTGAAGTGAGGTGCAATGATTCTGCTCCCTCTGTAACTGCAATGAAGCCCGATTAAAATTGTTTTAAAAAGTCACTTGTTGGGGCCAGCCCAGTGGCCTAGTGGTTAAGTGTGCGCGCTCCGCTTCGGCAGCCCGGGGTTTGCAGGTTCGGATCCCAGGCACGCACCTACGCACTGCTTGTCAAGCCATGCTGTGGCAGCGTCCCATATATAGTAGAGGAAGATGGGCTCAGATGTTAGCCCAGGGCCAATCTTCCTCAGCAAAAAACAGGAAGATTGGCAATGGATGTTAGCTCAGGGCTAATCTTCCTCACCAAAAAAAAAAAAAAAAAGAAAAAAAGTCACTTGTTATTCCTCCATTTTAATTCCAAAGCAGGATAAGCTCTTGCTTAGATACTTAGTTACAAGCTTTGGAGTGCCTCTGGCCAGGGCTGCACTGCCTCTGCTTGCGACTCTTACCACTTGTATGACCTCAGCTAAGCAACTAAAGCTTTCTGGGCCCCTGGCTCCTCACCTGTAAAGTGGGCATAACAACACTACTCACTTCATAAGGTTGATGCTAGTAATCAATGAACAGTCATGTAATACACTCAGCACAACGCCCTATACACAATAAGCACTTTATAAATATATATATAATTGGTTTTTAGTTAACATTTTTTGGCAGAGTACAAAAGAAAAGCTCAAAGATGGCCCAATAATCCCACTCTTCTTCAGTCAGCATTGAATTCAGCTTTTTGGAAATGTAGAAGAAATCATATTTTGATTTTCCTAACAGGCACAACAAGACTGAAATACAAAGGAAATGTCACTGCTAATTACAGCAATCCTATGATTTAGAATTATACCTACGTTTGCTTACAGTAGTGAATAATTAATTATTTAAAAACACAATTCAACTCTTCTCCCACCAGTAGACATTTAGATTATTTCCAGTTCTTGGTATTTTTAAATAAAGCGACGGTAAACAGCTTTGTAGATAACATTTGTCCAAATTCCTGGCAATTTTCGAAGGCTGGACTCCCAGAAGAGAAATTGTTAAGTCAAAGGAGAGGAACTTTCAGGCTCTTGATACTTATTATCACACTGCTCTCCAGAAAAGATTGTACCAATTTACACTCCCACCAACAGTGTGCGAACATGCCCTTTCCCCTCTTTGTCTATCATATTTGTTGCAAATATTTTTCCAGTTTGATATTTTTATATAATTGAGTCTATAGATTTTTTCTCCCTTGTAATTTCTTCTATTACTCCTAAGTTTAGGAACTAGTCCTTCCTCATCTCAAGACTAAATATTCACCCACATTGTCTCTTAGCTTTTTTAAAGTTAGATTTATCTTTCAACTTTAAGCTTCAAGACGTTGGTACTTTATTTTTGTACCATACAAAAATACATCCTCCAAATTTAGTTATTTCCACTTCATCTCTTGGTTGTCCCAAGACCACAAATCAATCACTCTCCCATCCCCCATCTTTAGGATGCCATGTTTACCACGTACTAAATTATCATACGGTCACCGGGGAAAGGCTTGGCAAGCAAGTCCACCTTCAGTGCCAGTTATGATCAGTTGGCAGTGGCTTCCTAGGATCAAGATGGACTCCAAGGATGCCCCCAAACTCCCTGGGGGAATGCCAGGATGGCCTGACAGTTCGTGTCATCACAGCAGGAGGAAATGTTTCAGGACTACCCTTGTCAATGACCTGTCTGCTCTTGCAAGATTACATGCATCTTAATTGCTATAACTAGAGGGAAAGCTCTGTCAGGACAGGATTTTTTCCTGCCTTTCTCACTGCTGTATCCTCAAGTTTCCAGACTGAGTGCCTGGCAGATAGTGAAACAGGTTCAAAAATACTCGTCAAATGAATGAAAGGTTAAAAATAGATTGTATTACTTCCCTCTCGGAAGTTTTCTTGACCATGATCACTCTTTGATTTTCCCCAAATGACCTTTAGCATCATTGTCAAGCTGCTGACCTCTAAAAAAAATTCCATTGAAAATGCAAAATAAAACTACAATGCAATACCACTACTCATACACAAGATAATTAAAAAGAAATAACAACCGTTGGCAAAAATGTGGAGCAAATGCAATTCTCAAACACTGGTGTTACGAGAGTAAACTGGTGAACCACTTTAGAAAACTGCTTGGCAATATCTACTCTAACTCAACATACACATAACCACAGACCAGTAATTTCAATCTTAAGGATATCTCTAACAGAAACATATATATATATATATATATATATATATATATATATATTCACGCAAAAAACTTGCTTTAGCATTGTAATGTCCACAGCAGCATTATATTGGATAGCAAAAAAAAGGAAAATAACTCAAATGTCAACCAACAGTAGGATGTATAAATGAACTGTGGTATATACACACAATGGAATACAACACAGCAATGACAACGAACTAACACCAACTACACATGACAACATGGATGAATCTTACAAATAAAGTGAGAATGAAACCAGACACAAGAATATATATTGTATGATTCAATTTACATAAAGTTGAAAACCAGGCAAAACTAATGTACAGTGATAGAAGTCACACAACTGGTTACCCTTGGAGGGGTGGGTACTGACTAGATGCGGCCTCAGACAGCTTTTGGGGAGCTGGTTAGATGGGTGTGCTGACTTCGTGAACATACATGAAGCTGTACACTTCTGATTTGTGCACTTGACTTAGACCTCAATAAACAGTTTACATTAAAAAAATCTGAGATATTTTATCTGCCTCATTTTTGAGAGCTGATAAAGAAATCATCTCTTAAATGTAATAACATGTTAATCTGGACACAGAAAACACAGTTTTCTTCAGTTTGCAGAGCCAGCTCATCACCAGGCTGGGGTGGTCTGCCTGGCGATTCCAGTAAATATGTCAAAGACTGTTCATTAGGCTGAGAGACAGAGGCAGATCACAAGAGAATGTGTTGACAGAGGCAGCTCTGCTGCTCTTGGGGTGGTGAACAGAGGTCCCCGTCGAGGGGTGGACTATACCTTACAGCTACCACAGCTTTAAAATGTTATCTAACCCTTCTTTGGCAATAGATTTTACAAGCCACCTGAAGCCTCTCTCCCTTACAATTTTTGGAAGTTTTAACATGATTAAACATATACTTATGAAACAGCAAGGCTTGTAGGATTCCTTGCACAACTCGTATAATACTAATTGTGATGGTTAACTTTGTGTCAACTTGACTGGCCAAGGAGTGCCCTGATTCAACATTGTTTCTGGGTGTGTCTGTGAGGGTGTTAGTGGAGGAAATTAGCATTTGAATCTGTGACTCAGAGATCGCCCTCCCCGATGTGAGTGGGCATCATGCAATCCACTGAGGGCCCAACAGAACAAAAGGTGGAGGAAGGAAGAATTCACCCTCTTTTTTCCTGCCCCATTGCTTGAGCTGGGGCCCTCGGACTGAGATTTACATCATCAGCTCCCCTGGCTCTCAGGCCTTCATACTTGGACTGAATTACACCACTGGTTTTCCTGGGGCTCCAGCGTGCAGACAGTACCTCATGGGACTTCTCAGCCTCCACAATGGATGGTGTGAGCCAATTCCTCATAATAAATCTCATTAGATAGACAGACAGACAGACAG